GCTTGCTACTTTCTACCGTCAACTCTGCTTTGTTCGAGCGAGGCGAGAGTGTGCTCCAGGTGCGTTTTATAATTTTAAGCGCAGAGCTACTCCAAGCTATCTTCCTACATCGTTGGAACGTACCGTGCTCGATCTTTCCTTCCGGTGCCCTTCGGTCTGCGGCGGCTCTTACGACGTCAACCAGTTTCCTCATGTCAACGCCAGCCACTGCCCCAAGTGCCTCTCCTGAGACTACTTGTTAAAGGCTACAGCTTCAGTTCGAAAAGTGGTCCAACTGGAAGGGGACGAAGTTATATTGTAACATCAAGGCCCTTCGCCGTGACGTGATAGCCTCTGAATCTAGTACGCCGGATATATTCGCCAGTCTAGAGCGTGGCTTTCCACGGTGCAGACGGCCCATTTTATTATAATCGAGCTTCCTGATCCGGTTGCTTTTGCCTTCCCTGAGCAATCTTTCCCAACGAGATCATCGTGTACCGTGCCCGGACGCTGATCATGAGTCGCATGATAGGGGATTTTGCGAAGATTGTTTCTGTCTCTCACCTCACCATCGTGTTAAATTTTTATGTTCCATTTCTCATTGCTATCTTTGTGGCAAAGCCAATTTCTATTCCCCTGTTGTCTTTTGATGTGTTCTGTCTCTGTTTCCTTCCATCGCTGCTCAACAGAGCCATTGCTATAGCTTGGATACCTAAATTTAGAAAGTCAAAGTCCGATGGATATCAGAGAAAGGACATAGTTCTCGATCCAGACTAGTGGCTGACTGTGCCCTTCTGTTCCATACTGAAGCAGTCTGTCTGCCTGGAAGATAGCTTAATCTCCTTGGTAAGAAATATACGGACGTGTCTTCTTACATTAATTCAAATTAGATTGACCATACTCCGTAACTTGCTAAGTTTGGTAATCTTTATCCATCAGTTTATGCGTTGTTATTGCAGGATCTGAGCGACAAAACAAAGTCCAGCCACTCACGCTTCGGAGCACTAAGACATCAACTCGCCGTAGTATTAGGTAGTGTCTGAATGAGTCACAGTCCAAAACGTGTTAGCTAAGGCCGCGCATGACAGCAAGTGGAGCCCAGTCCAACATGGATGGCGTCCGGGATACTTGTGCAGTCGGCTGCTGTAGTGCTTTCGACGAGCCTACTATGAGGACGTCAGGTCTGCACTTCGAAAGTCTCCCAAAATGTTGGTGTAGAACTCACGAAACCGTGAGGAGCTAAAGGTATCATTGGTTGTGAGGCTATTCAGATACAAAGACTCGCGGGGAAAGGAGGTGCAAACAGACCAAACTGCCATATACGGTTAGGTGCCGGCTCGCTTAAATTTCGTGTGTGGCTCGCGCGGCCAAACTCGCTGCGGCAAGGAACCCTCACCACAACTGAATTTGCCATCAGGCACGGGCAAACAGATCAAGAGGGCCGTTAACCCTGTCCACCACCTTATCACCCCGCGCGTCCTGTCCGGCATCAGCAGATACGGCCAGTTTTTGAACAAGTTCGCTAACCCCCTTTTGCGTCCGATAACCCCTCGAACCGCAAACATGTCGTCGCGTTTCTTTTACGGCGGTGGTAGCGACAGCGACTCCAGCTCCTCTGACGAGGAGGAGCTTTACAGCGATCGCGAGGAGGAGGAAAAGTCCGAGGAGGAAGAATCCAGCGAGGAAGAAGAGTCCGACGAGGAGGAGGAGTCCGACGAGGAAAAGGGTGCAAATAAGTTCTTGAAGGATGTTGCTTCCGACAGCGAGGAGGAGGAAGAGGAGGAGAAGGTCACGGTTGTCAAGAGTGCCAAGGATAAGAGATTGGACGAGCTTGAGAACACGATCAAGCTGATTGAGAACGCCAAGAAGATCAACGACTGGGCTGTTATCTCGACAGGTGCGTTTTGTTCCTTTCACATCCCGCTATCTATGTGGAGACGGGAATAGGGACGTGGGTTGAATGTGTGAGATGGGCTGACATGGGATAACAGAGTTCGACAAGCTGAACCGACAGGTTGCAAAGATCGCGCAATCTGGTCTGACTCCCAAGATTTACATTAAGACCGTTGCCGACCTTGAGGATTTTGTGAACGAAACTGTTGCCAAGCAGAAGTCCGGAGATAAGAAGCTGAACGCCAGCCAGGCCAAGGGCTTCAACGCTGCCAAGCAGCGTATCAAGAAGAACAACAAGGACTACACCAACCTGATCAACAAGTACCGGAAGGACAAGGAGGACTTTATGGAAAGCGACGATGAGGAGGCCACCCCCGTTGTTGCTGCTCCCCGCGTCACCAAGTTGGAGCGTATTGAGGCTCCCGCCGCTGCCATCGATGATGATGGCTTCGCAACCGTTGGCCGGGGTGGCAAGACTCTGCAGTACACTCCTGAGAGCATCCTGAAGCACCTCCGTGTGATCGTCGAGTCGCGAGGAAAGAAGAACACAGACCGCATGGAGCAGATTCGGACGATGGAGAAGCTTCTGGAGGTGGCTCAGACTCCTTATCAGCGCATCCGTGTTTACCTTACTCTCATTTCCACGCGTTTCGACCTCACATCCACGTCCAGTGCCAACTACATGGCCGTCGATCAGTGGAAGTCCGCCGAGCAGGACTTCTCGTCCCTCCTGTCGGTTTTGGAGAACAACCGTGACCACGTTGTGTCCGAAGGTGCCGAAGAATGGGAAGATGACGAGAAGCAACCTACCGTCGCCCCCGGCGAGACCCTCTACATTCCCGGTAGCATCGTGTCTTTCGCCGAGAGACTTGATGATGAGCTTACTAGATCCCTGCAACACATCGACCCCCACACCGCCGAGTACATTGAGCGTCTGAGTGATGAGAAGCTGCTGTACACCGATCTCGTTCGCGCCCAAGTCTACGTCGAAGGTTTGAACGAAGCCGAAAAGACCGATCCCAGACAGGACAGTGTCAACCGGGTGGTCATGAGACGACTGGAGCACGTCTACTTCAAGCCCTCGCAGGTCATCACAATCCTTGAAGATGCCACATGGAAGGCGCTTCCCTCAGAGCTGGATTCTAGCATTACCCCTCGGGCTAGCAGTGGCAACGTCGAGAACCTCGTTTTGTCCCTGTGCAACTATCTGTTCAAGAACAGCGATGGTATCATCAGAGCCCGCGCGATGCTGTGCCAGATTTACTTCCTTGCCCTGCATGACCAGTACTACCGCTCTCGTGATCTGATGCTCATGTCTCATCTGACTGAAAACATTTCCAACTTTGACGTCAGCACTCAGATTCTCTTCAACCGGACGTTGGTGCAAATTGGTCTTTGCGCCTTCCGCTCCGGTCTCATCTACGAAGCTCAGAATACCCTTTCTGAAGTCTGCGGCAGTGGACGTCAAAAGGAGCTTCTGGCCCAGGGTATCATTATGCAGCGCTACTCCACGGTATCCCCGGAGCAGGAGCGTCTTGAGCGTCAGCGCCAGCTGCCGTTCCACATGCACATCAACCTGGAGCTGCTCGAGTGCATCTACCTCACCTCCAGCATGTTCCTGGAAGTTCCTCTGATGGCCCAGACTTCCTCTTCTCCCGAGATGAAGCGCCGTGTCATTTCCAAGACCTTCCGCCGTATGTTGGATTACAATGAGCGCCAGGTCTTCACTGGTCCCGCGGAGAATACTCGTGACGGCGTGATTATGAGCGCCAAGTTCCTTGCCGCTGGTGACTGGAAGAAGGCTGCTGAGATGCTCAACTCGATCAAGATCTGGGATCTGATGCCCCAGCCCGACAAGATCAAGGAGATGCTTTCCCAGCAGGTCCAGGAGGAGGGCCTGAGAACCTACCTCTTCACCTACGCTCCTTTCTACGACAGCCTCTCCATCGCCACCCTCTCCAACATGTTCGAGCTTTCTGAGAAGAAGATCTCTGCCATCATCAGCCGTATGATTTCGCACGAAGAGCTGGCAGCTGCTCTGGATCAGGTGAACAACGCCATCGTTTTCCGCAAGGGCGTCGAGCTGTCGCGCCTCCAGTCCCAGATCGTCACGCTGGCCGACAAGTCCATGAACCTGCTGGAAGCCAACGAGAAGACTCTCGAGCAGCGCACCCAAGGTATGGCCAACGCCTTCCAGCGCGATCAGGGCGCCGGCGCCCGTGGTGGCCGTGGATCCGGACGCGGTGGTCAGGCCCGCGGTGGCCCCAGATTCCCCGGTGGCCAGCAAGGCCGTCGGCCCGGTGGACAGCAATTCGGCGGTGGTGCATTGGGCGGAGCTATCAAGGCTTAAAAAAGATTGTTTATAATGGCATCCTGTTTCTTTCTCTCATGGTCTAATGCTCCTTTCTGGGAATACAAATGCGTATGAAATTCTGTCTGCTTCTGTTCCATTACGGCCCCAGGTCGACGACACTTCGCTGTCGATCTATCTTCATGTTATCATCTTATGTATGCCCTATATTCATATTCTACAGATGGTTCGATGTCTAGACTGAATGAGAACAGAGAGGAAATCTTGGTTAAATGGTGTTCATCCATAGTAGATGGTCCAGTTCTATTTTGAGTAGTATGAATTGCTGTGGCCGCCTACGAGTGAGCTATATATTTCATGGGACAGGCTTTGGTGTCTATCACCCGTTCACCAGCAGACTAAATCTATATATATAAATGTTGGAGATGAGGAAATGTGAAAGCAGTTGGTTCTCTCTTCATATCATAGTGGCGCGTCCTTTGTACACATACACATATATGTCTATATCTATATCTATATGTATAGCCGCTATCGAAGCTATTCAGATACAGCATGTGCGATGCGGGACTGAGTTGCGAGCACGAGCCGGCGGGCATGCTTCACAGTATTCGCCGATATAGGGTTCTCCATTTCGAAACGATCTGCCTTTCGCCTGGAGCAACCTCGTCGGGTGAAGGGACGGTAGCCCGTGCGCCCCGGCATACTCTGTTCGGGCAGAAGCGAGGTGAGCGGCTATCCAGGCCGACGTTGCTTGACCGTCATCCGCCAGAGGAGAGTTTGTCTTCGTGATAAATGAACAGTTCCGAGTATAAGGATGTCATCCGCTGTCATCAAGGAGATTCTGGGGTGACCAGTATTCATTCTCTTCGCCCTGCGCGTCCACCCAAACTAGGCCGTCTGCTACAAGGTCATCAATGACAGTTTGTGCGCGGGCCTTTTCCCAGTTCAAGTTCAACTGCAACATAGATACGCTGACATAGCCCAGTATCTGAATTGCCTCGAGGACTGTGGCCTGATCGGTGTTCAGCTCTTTGGGGATCGAGCGGATGTATTGCTTGCTCCCTACTTGCACAATGGAGAAGCCAGACCCAAGGGGCCCGAGTGATTTCACAGCGCGGAGAACATCGTCACTGTACGTCAAAAGACAGTTAGCACAGTCCGAATAAATGGAAAAAGAGGATGAAGCCGTACTCTGTGACCTCCAAGCCGCTCCCGATGGCTTTGCCTTTGCCAACCTGTTTCCGACACTCTTCAACACCTAGCAAGCCGCCATTCTCACTCCTCGTGGATCGACAGAGCTCTACAACTCGGACCGCAACTTCAAAGTAGAAGTCATTCATATCACCGCCCATAATCTGCGTCCAGAAACTACCACTTTCCCCTCTCCGGCCACTTTTCCCTTTGACATTACTGGCTGCAAGAGGATCAACCCCGATAGCATTGCACATACGAGCAAATTCAGCTCGGAATGTCGGATTCGACTTTATCGTTGAACTATGTTCTAGTGCGAATGTGTGAAGCAATGACTGGAATACGGAAAGTTGTGTTTGGAGGGACGCAAGGTGCGCAGAGCGAAGGTTGGCGCCATGGTTGGCATAGGATTGACTGGTTTGCGTACGGTTCGCAAAGGCTCCGAGTCCGACACCTCGACGAGTCGACATTATGATTAATGGCGCTGATCTCTCCTGGGGGCATAAGTTATGCCGCGGGGTACATGTAGATGAGCCGTGAGATGTTGTCATGGCCAGATCGTTATCGGATAGGTCATGTGACTGCTTCCCGATAGATAAGGGTAACGTTTGACTAAAACGAGAAAGGAGGAAAAGCCCCATCACGCTAGCCTGACATAGGCTAGTGCGACTGATCCACCCACACAACCGATTTTGTCTTCAATTGATTTCTTCCTCGAACTTTTTCACATCCCGACAACCTTCGCCAACCGCCCAACTCGCGAATCAACGGACCGTCGCAATGGCCTCGACTGCTACGTATGATACCCTTTGATTGATTCCTATCGGCTGTTTCGCTTTGCGAGCCCGTAAGGTTTCAGTTCATAGTCGTCCTTCTCGCTGGAGATGCTGCGATCAATTTTGGTCGCTGGGCACCAGCTCGATTCTTCCCGTGGCCTTCTCTCCAACATGAGCTCTCCTCCCATTTGAACACTGGAAGCATGGAGCCTGGATGATGAATGGCCTGGGGTATTGAGGTTGAAAGCGTCGTTGCCTTCTCCTTGAAAAGCATTGTTGTGAGCTATCGTACCCTCCGACAGTCTTGAGAACAGATTGTCAGGAATCGGTGCGAACAGCGACAACATAACTTCCTGAGCGCAATGCTCGGGGTTTTGTCGGCTGAGGATAAAGCTTGCCATTCTGGCTGAAATTGTGAACGTCAGGCTGGGAATGCTGCGACTAGTAGCAAGTTCGGTTTTGTGATTTCAGTGCAATGCCATGCCTCACCGATCAAATGGATGTCGTCGAGTTTTCTTTATATCTGCCTTCAGTTGAGAATGTGGCACTATAGCTGCAATTCTTACACTCGGCGAATACTTGCTTTCGTTTGATTGCATGGACAGACTATACTGACCTCAAGCCAGCACCGTCCCCACCCAGGACCAGGTCCTTGTCCCTGAGACCCTCCTGAAGAAGCGCAAGAGCCAGGAGCAGGCTCGCGCTGTTGCCCGCGAGGAGGCCCAGAAGAAGAAGGAGGTTAGTCTTTTGCGATTTTCTTTACCTGTTTCTCAAACTATTCAATTGTGTGATGATACATTTTCCACTTACGCGACTAGACCTTCGGGTCGATGCTGTCGCTTCGTTAACCATCTTTCGGGGCTGACAATACCTTTTCCATCAATTCGCTTTGTGATATACTTGGAAAGGCATGCCGCTAACTTGCGAATTTCAGGCCAACAAGAAGAAGCGTGAGGCTATCTTCAAGCGCGCTGAGTCCTACGTCAAGGAGTACCGCGATGCTGAGCGTGAGAAGATCCGCCTTGCTCGCGTTGCTCGCCAGCAGGGTAACTTCTACGTCCCTGACGAGCCCAAGCTGGTCTTCGTTGTCCGTATCAAGGGGTATGTTTCACTCGAGCCTTCAGTTATCATACGCTGGTGCTAATATATCTGCAGTATCAACAAGATTGCTCCTCAGCCCCGCAAGATCCTGCAGCTTCTCCGTCTGGTTCAGATCAACAACGGTACCTTCATCCGCCTCACCAAGGCCACCCAGGAGATGTTGACCATCATCAACCCCTACATCGCTTACGGTTACCCCAACCTCAAGAGCGTCCGTGAGCTCATCTACAAGCGTGGTTACGGAAAGGTCAACAAGCAGCGTGTCCCTCTCACCGACAACCAGGTCATTGAGGAGTCCCTTGGAAAGTACGGCATTGTCTGCATGGAGGATCTGATCCACGAGATCTACACCGTTGGCCCCAACTTCAAGCAGGCCAACAACTTCCTCTGGCCCTTCAAGCTCTCCAACCCCACTGGTGGCTTCCGCACCCGCAAGTTCAAGCACTTCATCGAGGGTGGTGACACTGGTAACCGTGAGGAGAACATCAACGCTCTCATCAGACAGATGAACTAGATGCAATCTTATACACGGCGGTTCTCTATCCTGGGTTGTTTGGTTCACATGGGCTGTTCTCGATTAGCGTATAATGGTCTATGATTCTCGGGTACAAAAATGGAAAAGTTCGAGCAACCCATAAGCTTTAGTCATAATTCATCGTAGACTAGGCGTAGCTTTCCCTGTTTTGGCCTGCCTGGGCATAGGGACTCTGTACTACCTTGCTCTATATGTTGCGGGTCTTCTCTGCTTGGTTATCCATGCATTGCCATACAACCTGGATCGATTTCGCAACCTCGGCTTTTGGATGATGTATTTTCCAACATCAGACTGAACATATTTTGGCTAAAATTGAAAAGTCCTAGGCAACTCATAGTGGATTCTCATATCAAGGCCTTTATCAAATGTCCTATAGACAGTTGTGCGTATGCCGAGTATGCAAATTTTTTGCGATCATATATATATATATATATATTTCTCGCTTCCTCAGTCATCCTTGCGAGAGCGATGACACTCAATCTACGTACAAGATTCCGATACCATAGCCGACTAATCAAATCTCAATGGCTTCTTGAACCCTCCTCTCCTTATTGACAATCAGACGGAGCTGTCTGCCTTGCCAGTTGGTGTCTGTTGAGTTCGACGCAGGCTTGAAGGCACCTTCTCGAAGTGCCTCAGTGAAGAGTTCATAAGACGGGTAATCTGCCATATATTAGCCGACGATCGTCCGCCAATTCCATTCACGTACAGCCGTCAACAAAGTGAGACACCTGTTCCTCAGTCATGCCGGTTCCTTTGGTTGCACGCAGTGTTCTCTCCTGTTCCTGTCTCCAGTCATAGACAAAATGGAGGTCTTGCGCGTCGCTTGGAGATCTTTAGCAAGAGGATATTAAGATGATATCGAGTGAAGAAGGTGGAACTCACATATGGACCAATGCGTCCAGTCGACTGCACTCGAACGGTTAGCATCAGCTTCTAGGGCGACCAAGAGGGCAAGGACACGAACTCGGTCAATACATCATACTTCCTCAAGGCATCATTGACGGCCTTGACATCTTCAAACTTCACATGGCCTAAGCGGCCATTATAATTACCCTGCCCTTTCCGGCGGACTGCAGCCTCCCACTTCTCCCTGAGGACTTCATCATCCAGGGCGCGGAAGCCAACGCACCAGCCTTCGAAGATAACCGCTTTGATTTTCTCTTGTCCGTCGCCGTTGACCGTCTCCCATTGACTCTCGGGTACACGATCGCCCTGTCCTGAATAAGCGGACTTGTCATATTGCGGGATGGCGGTAGGACGGCCGGCACGGAGAGACTCGAAGACTTTTTCGGCTAAAGGGAGATCGTGTGTTGCCGGTTGGCCGCGATGCTGGAGAAGAGGATTGGAAGGAAATGTTTTGGCTAGTGTCTGTTGTTGCTCGTGGGTGAGGTAGAAATCATCCAGAGAAACCGTGACGACCGGGAGGGAATATGGAGGTGCTCGAAGGGTCGATTGAAGGGTTGAGACCTGGTATTTCGCTCTAGCTCAGTATACAAATCATGATTGGGGGGATTCGAGCAGCTCACCAGCACAGTCTTGCCCGCTCCCTGGACACCGTTGAGTCCCAGGAAGAATGGCGGGGTATTGTTTGGGTCATTCCCATATCGTGCCTGGTGGGCTTCCAGCCGCTTCAGCAGGAATGGGATGCAGTATTGCGATTTATCGTCGATGATTTCAGGCATTTTGCAACACTCTGATGATCTAGATACTGTGGTTGTCTTCTATGACTACTCCGGTATCGTGATGCTATATATTGTTTGTTCTCTCGGACGAGAGCCGACCGAAATCTGGGGTAGTCGAACTTCCCCGACGGGATAAGATTTGTGCCTGAATGACTTCCCGCATCTGAGCAAAGTCATGAAGAAATCTCTTTTGGGCCTTTCTTCAGGAGTTGACCATACTCCCTGTCGATATCATTTCGACGACCAGTAGTTATACAAAACATCAGTTGTTACCACCCCGCGTGTCCCACGTGACAATGACGTCCAGACACATGCTCGATGAGTCAGCCGATGGTCACTCTAAGCTCTTCTGCCACTAAGATCGCAAGGAAATAGACTGGTCCATGCTTGAAGAATGAGGCAAGGGTAGAAAACGAGCATTGAGCATGTGGAAGAGGCCGCAGCAGCTGGTAGAAAATAGAAAGACGACAAACGTCTCATGACTCGAGCATCGGCATGTGAAAACGCATCATCTGCCTAGCCAAATACGCTTGGCGTCTGGCAGCGGAACCTCCGAGCTTCATTTGGAAGATACCGAGGTTCCTTTGGAGCTTGCCGAGCGCTGCGACCGTCTTCATCTTTATCCACCTCACTTCTTCCCCCAGATTCAGTTCCGGTTTCCTACGGTATCCCCGGCTCCCCAGAATTTCTTCCTTTTAAACTTCACTCAGCATCCTCCCAACGAATCGTCTTTTGAGTCCTTTATTCCCTTTCTTCTCTCCTCCTTTGAACAGAACTGTGTGCTGAGTGCACCACCTTATTCGACATTCCTGATACCCTCACTTTCCTTTCCTCTTAAATCCATCCAGTATGTCTGAGCTGCGCTTTGACAACCAGACTGTCGTTGTTACAGGAGCTGGTGGTGGCCTTGGAAAGGCCTACGCTACCTTCTTCGCTTCCAGAGGTGCCAATGTCGTTGTAAACGATCTGGGTGTTTCCCACTCCGGTGAGGGGGCCTCATCAAAGGTACGACGGATCATCTATCGAAACGGTGGTTGTATGAAAGCTACTAACTCAATTTCAACGTAGGCTGCCGATGTAGTAGTTGAGGAGATTCGAGCAGCTGGCGGCAAGGCAGTAGCCAACTACGACAGCGTTGAGAACGGTGAAGCCATCATTGAGACAGCCATCAAGAACTTCGGCCGGATCGATGTTCTTATCAACAATGCTGGTATCCTCCGTGATGTCAGCTTCAAGAACATGAAGGATCAGGATTGGGATCTGATCAACAAAGTTCACACCTACGGTGCATATAAGGTTAGCCTAGCAATCGTCAAGTTCGTTCTGTTTGCCAGGGTATTGACCGTGATTTTCCTGCTCAGTGCGCAAGAGCA